GGGAGTGCCAACCCAGCTGTGTTTTAAGAAGAGAATTCAGGCCACAGTAAGGGTGGTGGCTGTGCAGATGGGACGAAGGCGCTGGCTGGGGACTGCTGTGCAGGGCAGGTTAGAAGTGATGGGAAGGCTGGTCCAGGCACCGAAGTGGAGAGAGGAAGGTCCGGGACCCAGGCTGCCTGGGTTTGAATCCTCACCTACTAGCTGTGTGGCTCTCAGGGCCTCAGTTTCTCCTTCTGTAAAGTGGGAATAACAGCATTGCCTACCTCATAGGGCTATGGAATGAGCTCTGTGTGGGGAGTGTGATGTGAATATAGCCGTTCGTCTGGGAGACCTTCGGGGAGCTGAGTGGTAGGCTCACTGTCTCCCTGAAGGAGGAACCTCGGATGACATGAGGCTGTCTTTTTCCTTTCCTCCTCACCCTCTCGGTCTCCTGCCTCCCCTCCTGGGAAGCCACCTTAGCAGTTACTGCTGTTCTCCCACTGCCCGGGTCCAGGCAAGTGACACTTTCAAAGAAATACCCCAGAAATTCCTGCAGGTGCCATTCTAGGACCACAGATGCCCAGCCTGTGAGCGAGGAAACCAGGGCTGCCAGTATTATTACTAACAACAATGATGCCGACCATTCAATGCACACCCTCTGAGAGTGTTCCTGGACCATTTGATTTAACTAGATCTTGACCCAGGGCTTAGCACATAGTAGGTACTCAATTGGTATTTGTTGAATGAATGGGTGAAGGAATGAGCAACTACCAGGGGTATGCCCCACACTGTGCTAAGAACTTAACATTTTCATGGTTTTTCACATTTAATATCTTTAACTGCCCTATGAAGTGGGTATTATTCCCATTTCACAGACAAGGAAACCGAGGCTCAGAGGCCCAAAGCCACCCAGCTAGCCAACAGCAGGGCCAGGTTTCCCACCTCAGCCTTTCCCACGGCCGAGCCTGTCTCATCACACCCATGCTGTTAGGCACCCATGGAGGGAGGCTTGGCTGCAACCGTGAACCAGGTCTGGGTCATGAAGTCCAGGGTCTAGCCTTGCTTCCAGGGCACACTTGCTGTGTGATCTCAGGCAAATCACAAACCCTCTCTGAGCTTCTATTGCCTCAGTGATAATACTTTCTTTGTGGTGAGGCCCCCAGGGAACTCCCACTTGTACGCGGCAAAGACCCCACTGCCCCGAGTCTGGGCACCTCCCAGAGCCACTCACGTCTTCCCTTTCCAGCTTCTCCCCCGGCAACAGCTACTGAGGCTGGAGCCCGAGCCAAGCGCACAGCCCGTGTCAGCAGAACCTGTTCATCCAGCATCAGTGGACCTGCTCCCCGCCCCCAGGATGTCCCCTGCTCACCCGCAGACATCCAGCTGGGGCTCGGTGCCCAGCACACATACGGCGTAGGTGGGCTGCTCTGGGGTCACGTGGATCACCGTCCCCTGGGCCATGATCCGGCCAGCTCGTCCCTGCGGCTGCAGGAAGCCCCTGGCTGGCTCCTTTGTACTGCCCAGCGGAGGCCATGAGTCAGCACCTGCGGTTTGTGCTCAGGGGCGAGCCCCTCCCCACTCAGGTCCGAGGCTGGCACTCTCAGCCCCTCCTCTGCCCTGGATCTGCCCCTTGACCCCCTGGGTGTCGGTGCCAGAATCAGTGGCAGGCTGGCTCCGTCAGTTTCCCAGGGAGGGCAGAGGGCTCAGGACGCCTGGAGGTGGGGTCACCGGTCTGGGTCCTCATGTCCGTAGCCCCTCCCTGCCTGGGGCCGTGAACACCCGGGTGCAGCCAATCTTGCCTAACTAGGCCCAGCTGGGCTCTCAGAGAGGCTCAGGCTAGAACAGGGGGAGGTTTCAAGATTTTAGGCAACAGGTCACAGCCCGGGCTACACATGCAAAGACCAGCCTGGCCTGGGGCAGGTCTCCCCCAGCTGGGTCACCCACATGGGTGCTGTTTGCGGGGCGCCTTGCCCTGCACTTGACGAGGAATAGCTCACGGAGACAGCTGTGTGGCAGGTGCTGTTACTCCCTCATCTCATTCCCACGGCAGCTCTCAGCCGTTCTTATTCCCACTTTACAGAAGAAGTAGCTCAGACAGGCAGTGGTTCTCAACCTGTGGGTCGCGACCCCTTTGGCGATCGAACGACCCTTTCACAGGGGTCGCCTAAGACCATCCTGCATATCAGATATTTACATTATGATTCATAACAGTAGCAACATTACAGTTATGAAGTAGCAACGAAAATAATTTTATGGTTGGGTCACAACATGAGGGACTGTATTTAAAGGGCCAGAAGGTTGAGAACCACTGAGCTAGAGGCAGAGCCAGCATTTGGACTAAACATCCTGCTCCAGAGTATGAGACGTATAAGCTGCCTGCCCTCGTAGCATGAGCTTTTCTGATTGTATAACATCTACTTTTGTTGTTGTTGTTAATCCTCACCTGAGGATATTTTTCCATTGATTTCTAGAGAGAGTGGAAGGGAGGGGGAGAGACAGAGAGAGAGAGAAACATCGATGTGAGAGAGACACATTGATTGGTGGACAGGGATCAAGCCTGCAACCAAGGTACGTGCCCTTGACCAGAATCGAACCCGGGATCCTTCAGTCTACAGGGTGACACTCTAGCCCAGGGGTGGGCAAACTTTTTGACTCGAGGGCCACAATGGGTTCTTAAACTGGACCGGAGGGCCGGAACAAAAGCATGGATGGAGTGTTTGTGTGAACTAATATAAATTCAAAGTAAACATCATTACATAAAAGGGTACGGTCTCTTTTTTTTTTAGTTTTATGCCCATGGCTGCTCTAGCCACTGAGCCAAACCAGCTAGGGCTGTAACATCTACTTCTTACTGCAGTACAAGGTACAGTGGGGGCCTTGACTTACGAGTGTCCCGACTAATGAGTTTTTTGAGATACCAGCTATCTCTCGGCCGATTTTTTGCATTGAGTTGATAGAGTAATTTGAGTTAACGAGCTCCTTAACAAGCTCGGTCCTGGAACGAATTAAACTCGTAAGTCAAGGCCCCACTGTATATAGGAGCTGATTGTGACTACCTACCCATTTTATAGAAGGGAAAATAGAGGCTCAGAGAAGAAAGGTGACGTGTCCAAGGCGCCACAGCTAGCGTGTGGCAGAGCGGAAAGCCAGCGTTCCCTGCACATTGCAGGATGCCTGCCTCTAGCCGGGGCCTCTGGCTGTCAGACTAGACATTGCAGGTGGGTCACGTCTGCCAATGGGACACTCACTCGGCCCCAGAGCTGTGCTTGCACCTGGGCCAGTGGTGGGAGAGGTGGGTGGATGGGCAGTCCCAGCAGGGAGCACCCAAAGGAGGCATCATACCTGGGGATCTGGAGGCCTGAGTTCCAATCCTGCTTCCTGCAACATCCCCAGGAGGTGGGTCCCAGCATGATGCCCACGTTATAGATGAGGCCTCTGAGGCTCAGAGAAGCTAAATGATACTCCCTAGACCCCACAGCCCATAACGTGGGTCCCAGGATCCAAAACCGCCTTCTCCAGGCTCAAATTCCATTTTCTGTGCCAGCAGCTGCCACAGCCAGACCTGGTACCCTGATGCATCCACAGGACTGCTTGCACACAGTAGGTCTTAATAAACCCCATTTTTGTGGCTGGTCATATGATTAGGACTGGTTTGAGCTTCTAATGGAGGCTGGAGGAGGGCACCGTCAATTGTCAGAGTTAGGGGCCCTCAGAGCACACCAAGTCCAGGCCGAGTTCTGTGGATGGGAGATGAGGCACAGAGAGGGTGTGTGACACGCCCACGGTCACACAGCAAGTCAGCAGGAAGCCTGGGCTCTCCCCCAAGGCTGAGGTTCCTTGGGGGTAGTTTTCTTTTTTCTTTCTTCCCTTTTTATCTTCAGCAAGTTGAAGGTTAAATCAGCTGTGAATAAGCCACAAAGAGAAAAAACCAAAGCAGGTTTGTTAATTCAACACATATTTATCGTGTGCCTACTGTGTGCCAGGCACTGTTCTAAGCACGGTGGGTACAAAGTGACCAAAACAGACCAACACCCTGCCTTCATGGAGTTCCTTTTTCTAGGAGAAAGAGGCAGCTAATAAACAGGAATTATATAGTCTGTTGGCTTTATGAAAAATGGCTCTTACCCTGCTCGACTTTTCATTTTTTCAGAGGTATAACTTGAACCCAGGAAAACCATCACCCTTCCAACACAAAGACCCTCCCGGCCTCTCCATAACATCAGGTAGAAAGTTGGGAGTGTGTCGAGATTGTCCACGTTTTCACATTTTAAGCAAGCGTAAGTCAGTTCTCTCTCTCTCTCTCTCTCTCTCTCTCTCTCTCCCCCAAATAAACATTTGCCTGAATAGAATTACTTCCTTGATCATTTTCCTAAAGGTAGAATTTCTAATATTTGAAACTGCTTTCCAGAGGTTTACTGCTCACGTCACCCTGGCCCTCCCAGCAACGAGTTTTCGTTTCTACTATTTTGATCGTGGTATTTGGTGTTTATTTAGTTCCTAATGAGATGAATACATGGTCCCGATGCTGGCCATTCTGTTGCTGATGTTACCTTAGGGCCATTTTGATCAGGAGGGATGTTAGGGAGGGAAAGGGCCAGAGCCGGTGTGTGGGGCCTGGCAGGCAATTCGGGACTTGCTTTTTCTGGTTGGCTATGGTTACATCTCTCCGGCGGCAACTTGAAGTTGGAACTGGAGCTCTGTTAAGACAACATTGCCACGCATACTTGAACGTAGGCCTGGTTTAAAATAACACTGACACCCTGCATTCTCCTCTGCCAGGCTGGGGGGAGGACTCTTCCTGGATTTGTTTGCTTGATGGGTTTACAGAGGTCTTGGCAGAGCGTGCCTGCTCCTCCCGGTACCGCGGGCCTCCCTGTGCCCCTCCTCACCGGGAGGTGGCAGGCATCTTCGGCTGCCACTCCAGGGCCCTGTGGGTCTGCATGAACATGCCTCTTGGCCCGGTAAGGCCAGAGCCCTCGGATGACGAGGATGCAGGATGATGAGGCGTGGGGCGGTCACACACCCTCGCGCTGTCGTGCTCTCCTCCTAGTTTTCATTGGTCGGGCGCCGAATGGCCACAGCATTGTTTCTGCAACACCCCTCCGTGCAGTTCACTGAGCCCTTGCTGGGTGCCAGACTCTCCCAGGCCTTAAGAAACCAGATCTTGATTGTGCTGGGATGTTCTGACTTCAAGGTTGGTCTCCCAACTTAGGGATTCCTTACGTGCCTTTGTGCAAGGAATATTAGGATCCTGTGGTCCGTGTTCCCAACCAGTAACAGTGACTACGGGACCCTGAGCTCTGGGCAGGGTCCAGGCTCAGCTGCTGACACGCACCATCTCACCAGACCCTCTTCTCAACCCCACGGGGAAGGGAGGGTTAATCTCATTCTGTCGGCAAGGAAATTCGGCTCAGAGAGGGTGAATGACTAGAATAAGACCACACAGCTGGTAGTGAAAGAAGTCAGGGTTTGAACCCAGATCGAGCTGATTGCAAAGCCTTAACCACAAGGCTTTACCAGCCGATTGGGGAGGGGGGAATAAAAGACCCCAGGCTCTCCAGGCTTCTGATTCAGGCTCATTCGACAGACATCTGCTGAGCGCCCCTCTGTGCCAGGCATGGTGCCAGGTATTAGGGACACAGAAGACAGACGTGTCATCGTCAAAGAACACAACACGAAGATCAAAGAAACGGAAGCCATAGGAGTCAGCTCTCTCTCTAAGAATGTATACGTCTGTGTTCCAACGTATAGATCCTGAGAGGGAGATTTCAAGGAATTGGCTCACAGGATGTGGAGGCTGGGGGTGGAGGGCAGGCAGGCGGAGACCCCGGGAGAGCTGATGTTGCAGCCCAAGCCTGAAGGTCACATGTGGAAGAACCCCCTCGGCCTTGGAGGACGTCCAGTCGTTGCTCTTAGCCCTTCAACTGGTTGGACGAGGCCCACCCCCACAGTGGCGTCCACCTAGTTAAATGTGAGTCTCATCTCAGAAGCACCTTCCCTGCAACGTTCAGGCTGCTGTTTGACCACATATCTGAGTGCCATGGCCTGGCCAAGCGGACACATAAAATTAGTTGTCCCAGAACACGCAGCTCACAGGAGGTGCTCTTAACTCTTATGGCGTCACTCACCCTTTTGAGCACTTAAAGGGAGCAATAGAGATGCCCTTGGCGTTCCGTTCCTTGTGGATGGGGAAACAGGCTCAGGAAGGAGCTGTCACTGGCCTAAGGTCACGGGCAAGGTGGTGCAGAATCAAAACAAGTCTCTCCTCGCTCTCCAAGCGCAAACCCCGTCTCCTGGGGTTTTTAGTCTGGGGCCCCCAGGGGGAGACTCGGAGGCGAGAGTCTGAGTGGACATAGTTTATCTGGGAGGCAGGGAAGGCAGGAAGCCAGTGAGGGTGTGAGGGTGAGCCGGTGACCACCGTAACCAGCATGGTGATGAGCGGAACCCACTGGGGAGCACTGGAGAGTGGGGTGGGGCTGCACCCCAGAGCGAGCCGAGC